TGCGGTGTCCGCTAATAGCCCGTGGAAAGAGCCGTTCTTGAACGGGGAATCTTCGAGCTTCCACGGGAGAAGCAACAGCTTTTCGTCGACAAATTCGGAGAGCCTGCAGCTGTGCACAGAAGGGCTGGGGTATGAGAGCTTGGATGATGTTGAGGATTTGAAAGGAGAGATGGAGGAAGAGGAATGGCAGAGGGAGGTGGAAGAGGAATCAGTGGCCTTGAAGAAGCAGCAGATTCAATATCAAAATTTGAAGCCTGGGATGATTAGGAGATCAAGATCAGCAAATATGGCAGATTTTCCTCCACCAATTTCTTGTATGGGGAAAAGTGGGATGCCTTGGGTTGGTTTCAAGTCCTACAGATATGGGGGAAGGTTTATATTGAAGGAAATAAGAGTTCCCACACATGAATTTCTTCATGCTTCAAGGGAAAATGGACGTCTGAAACTGCATATTCTTTTACCAAATGAGCAGACCATAGAGACCAAGGAAGAGGAAGAAGAAGAGGAAGAGGAAGAAGAGGAAGAGGAAGAAGAAGAAGAAGAAGAAGAAGACAAGAAGAAGCAAGAGAAAGAAAATGGTATTGGGAAATGCAAGGTTGTAATTGAAAATGGCCCATAATGAGATAAGAGGCCATCACTTTTCTTAGGTAGAATATTGCTGCAAGCTTGGACTTTTCAAGTCTCTGCTTTTTTCTTCTTAAAATTGATGAATATGCCTTCTCAATGATTTCCTGATCTATGCCATGCTTGCATATTTTACTAAACTAAAAACACCATCTGGGATTGGAATGGAGCTTAATAATTACACTAGATGAACTCCATGGGGCTAAAAACCTCACAAATATGAGAGAACTCGGAATACAGGACAAAGTGATTACGAATGTTGATAAAATCGTTCCTAACCTCCCACGAAATTGGAAGAGTTTTGATGATTCTTAACATCTACAACGAGCATGATGGGTGGCCAAGAGAAATCAAAATAATTTGGTCTTTTACAACTTCTTGAACTAATGGAACCTTTTAGGTACAAGGGCCATGAATTTTTGAAAGTTAATTGCATAGAGAGACATGTAAAAGAACATTCTTTGAACATTCTTTGAACTCCAAACACATCTCCATCCAAAAATTACCCCATTTTGTAGAACAAATCCCACAAATCAACAGAGAAAACCCTTGTCTGTGATTATCAAATTAAACCCACCAGCTGGATATCAGAGAATTAAGGCATCAAAATTAAGAACGCTCTGTATAACCCAAACATTTCGGACCAAATTTCCCCAAATCCCTTCCCTATAAAAATCATACCTTTATCCCAACAAAACCATAATGAAATATAATATAGCATAATGGCTATGGCTTGCTCTTGGTTGTGGCCATCTTCTCCCATTGTTGGAATATGGGCGACGCCGGCGACCGGGATTTGATACTGGATTTCATCGGCCTACCAAACGGCGCCGCAAATGGCAGTTTCTTCACCTTCATCGGCCCACTCAGCATTTTTTTGGACTCATTGGGTAACAAAGACAATTCACGTACATAAGTTTTTCAATATTTGGCAGAGTGAAAAATGCAAAACATAAGTTTTTTTTTTTTTTTAATAAATAGTTGTCAAACATTTAAAAAGATGGTAAAGACAAGATTTGGCCTTCAATGATAAAGAGCCAAGTATTTTTCGTTCAAATATTAATATAGTTGTACCAAGATGTACCTAAATATACACCAATCTAGTATAACGTTGCAGCAGTAGCTAGACCAATCTCTTACCATAAAAATGGCTGCTTGCACACCTCTTTTTCCCATCAAACCTCTTCAAAGAAGCTAATTCAAGATCTTTTTTGTGGATCAAGATGACTAACAAATCATAGGAGACCAAATGATGAATCAGTTACCAATCTGTATCGAAACAACTATACGTTAAAAATGAGTTATACATATTGATCAGTATAAAAATCATCTCTATAAATCTATGCTCATTGATGAGACAACAATCTAGAAAAGTGAGTACGAGAAATCTACCAATTCACATGTGATACGTCCGAATTATGACAGGTTGGGTACCATATTAAGTTGCTAGATACTCCCAAATTCATCCTTTTTAAATAAATAGTTTTAAAATTATCAATACTTTTATTTATTCCCAAGGTGGGGTTCTTGGACACCACCAACAAACTCTTCAAGTTGGGGATGTATTTTTGTTCCCTAAAGGATTGCTTCACTTCCAGTTCAACTCCGACCCTCTCAACTCCGCCACCACCATCGCTGCCTTCGACAGTGCCAACGCCGGTACCGTGTCGATGTTTTCGAGTGGGATAAGTGATGATGTTCTTGCTAACATTTTCAATACTCATGTAGCTATCATTCGGAATGATAAATGGAGTTACAAGTTACCCCCTAAATTAACCTTAAAAGAAGTACAAACTAAATATTTTATCATGAACTCATCATATATATATATGTATGTGTGTGTCTTTCTTTATTGTCATTTTCAAAATAAAAACATGTTTGATGTTTTCTTTTCATGTCATGTGTTTGTTAAAAGCTTAGAATTAAGCTGGTGTGACGAAATCATTATCCAATAATAACAAACATCCCTTATTATGCAAAATATTTACCCTTTTTAAGTGTTCAAAGTTCTAAGATATTTGAAATCAATAAGGCATGGAAGAAATCAATCCTTAAACAAGAAAAATAGACTAGGGAAGATTAAATTAGCATTCAAGTTTTCTTCAACTATGAAAAAATTTGAGATAAGAGACGCTTTCGATTTGTTGATAAACAATAATCAAGAATCGAAAAATATTTAAGTGTTCATCTGTTGGCATCTAATGCTTTGCCTAACCACTAAAATTTTGATGAGTATGAGAAAGAAATGCAGAAAATGAGATTATGCTGTCATATGATCGATAAGCATCTAAATATTATTCATCAAGAATAGTACTCTCTAAGCATCTAAATATTATTCATCAAGAATAGTACTCTCTCATTTGATGAAAAATTGTAAACTGAAGAAAGACTGCTTAGAATAGTGCTCTCTTTTATTTGATGGAAAATTGTTCTCTTTCTGGAAAATTGTAAACTGAAGAGAGACTGCTTAGTACAAGATTAACAAGAAAATATTTATTAAGGAGCGATACTTTTAAATGAAATTTTGTGAGCTTATCAAGAAGACTACTTAGTATGTCGATTAAATAATTTAAACATAATAAATATTTAATATATGTGTTAAGTAATTATGTTGTTGTTTTAGTACAACAAATTTGGGGACATGGGAGTTTAAACTTTAACGAAAGAATACTTCAGCTCCTTTCTTATTTCCCGAGAATGTGCAATGTTATGCACTTTCATATTCCAAACGAAATAACAGAAGCTATTCATACATGTTTCCACTTTCAAAACTAAATTAATTCATACTTCATGCTGATCTTTGAAATATAAATAGGGGAATTGAAAGTTGTCTAGTGTCTATGGTCCTAAACTTTCCACCTTTCTAGAATAGGAAACTGACAGGATTGAGACCGAAGCTCTTATAAAACGGGGTTGGTGCCATCTAGAGTCAGAAGAGCCTTGTATAACTCGGGTCGGCGATCACGAAATACTCCCCAAGCATGTCGCTTGGACTTGATTTTATCCAGATCAAATTTGGCTACTAAAACATCCTCATCCTTGTCATTAGCAGCAGCAACAATTTCTCCAGTAGGTCCTGTCATTAAAGCATCCATATTATGCATATGGCTTCAATCCAAGATGTTTCAACTTTTCAAATGTTAACATGCAAACACGGTACCTGCTATAAAAGAATTCCCATAGAATGTGATCTTGCTTTTTCCATGCTCTGTCTCAATGATCTCCGTCCCAATGCGGTTTGAAGCCACCAACGGCACCTGAATATTTTTATGTTAATGAGGTTCAAATTTTGTTCATTAGCGGGTCAAGGAGGCTCCCCGAAAATACAAATCATGAAAGCCCTTAGATAACCAAAAAAGAAACTAATTCTTATGCTAACATCATATAGTCGGCTATACTGTTGTCCACAAACTTACCACGCTAGCACCAGCATGTCCTTGCATTACGCGTTTCCAATGATCACGAGAATCAAGTCCATCATCTTGAGGTTCAGAACCTATAGCTGTAGGATAAAACAGAATCTCTGCACCTTGAAGAACCATAGCTCTGGCGGCCTCTGGAAACCACTGATCCCAGCAAATGGCTGAAATAAAAATGATTTGGTACCTTTAGCCTCACTCTCTTTTTTCTTATATAAGAAACAGAGTTCTAGTAAAAGGAAGAAAACAAAGCACAGCCTAAGGACGAGGGTTTGAGAAAACCCCTCTCCCCTATTACATGCATTTCTTAATTTTTTTAGAAAAATACATCTTACCTCCAACGACTAACTTTGCATGTTATCAAATTAGACTAGAAACACTGGGACAAAAATTCCACCTTATTCCACACAATGGCAAATTATTTGAGCCTCCTCAAACATCAAGCCACTGGGGTGGAGGTTACTAAATATTACAAAGTTATATTATAGCACTTCATTCTTCCTATTCGGCAATTTGATGTATGATTTAATCGAAAGAGTCGTGTCATTCAAAATCAAAATTTGGATACCAAAGGCATACTTGGGTGATCTTGTAGTTCCTACAGGGTGGAGACGATGAAGTCGGTCCATGGATTTCCCTCCCTTTTCTTTTTTCCTTTTAGGAGATAATAAATTATTTCATTTATAAATAAAATATGGTACTATGGTAGTACACCAAATGCCAAGGAGGTACACGACAGCTCTAGTATTTTACAGAATTAACAGCATAAGTACAAAAGAACTTAGATTAAAAGCGAAATGGAATCCCAAAGGTCAGCTATTTGGCGATCAGTTGAATGAACACATCAACTCTCTTCAGAAATTGTATTCTCTGGAGTGGTGAGAGATATCAGTGAAGAGTCTGAAATCCTTCAAGCAATCGAGAGCTGAGAAGCAAAAACTCCTGGTCTCATTTCTGGAGAATTTATTTAAGTGTTGGAACACCATGTAGGTGGATGTTCTTAAGGTCTTATTAGATACTTTTGAGAATAAATTGTTGAGTGCTTGCTCGAGGGAAAACTTCATCTGCCCAATTCCAGAAGTAGTGATATGACTTCCTCTGATCTGTGATCAACAATTTTGGACCAACAAGCTTGGTTCAGTGTGGGTAGAAAATACTAGGGAGAAAGTCATACTAACAAATTGCAGATGGTGCCACCTAATACAATATCTTGCACTCAATTTCCTTTTGTTGATTACAGGCACATCAAGGACGCTGTACTCATCACAAATGAGGTGGTTGAACTGAAAGTTCGAATACAGATGCTTGGGTGCTCAATACTGACTTTCAGAAAGGTTTATGATCCGATGTATTGGAATTTTCTCCTAGCTATCATCCAAAGTAAAGGCTTCAATAACCGATGGAGAGATTAGAAACAAGAATGCATTTCTCATACTCTCTTTCCACTTTACTCTTATTTTTCCTCTTTGTGCTTCTCATGGATGTGCTCAACATAATCTAGTTAAAGCCCCCTACACTAATTTCCTGAAAGGTGCGAAGGTGGGAAGCAATAGAGTGGTGATAAATCAATCACATTCTTTTTATAAGACTAAAAGAAGTCCAAAAACAAAAATGTTCAAGCTAACGCCAAGGCAACCAAAAGAATATATATTATAAACAAGAATTTCAAAAAGGAGCCCCACATAGAAATTGTTTTTCATCAGCAGGTAGAGAGTTGGGTAATATTTTGGGCGTTATTAAAAAGTTTGAGCATATGCTTGCTATGAAGGTTAACCACAACAAAATGGGTTTGCAAGTGTTAAAAAAAGGATCCCCGGGAGGTCCCAGGCAAAGCATACTCTTTTGGTTGCTCGGTGGAAAATTGGCCCTTGCATTTCTTAGAATGCCCTTTGGAAGCATCCAAATTCTCTTGTTTTTTGGGATCCTGTTGGGTGAAGAGAGTTTGTGAAAGACTTGACAGATGGAAGCATAATATCTTCTCGAAAGGAGCTGCTCAAATCATCCAATTTATTCTCACTCTATACCTATCTACTTTATGTCTTTATTGAAGATTTCTTCTAGAGTGATATAATTCTTGAAAAGAAGATCACAAGGGGTAATACTTCATAGCCCCTTGGCTGGTTGGAGGAGGGTCTGTAATCATAAAAATGACGGGGGTATTAGTCTTAGCAATCTTAAAGAGCGGAACATAGCTTGACTTCCACGTGGGTGTGGAAGTTGATGTTGAGTGGGCTAAACACAGCTGATGTTCCTCGGATAAGACATCTTTTTTTTTTAAGGAACATTCTAAAAGTTACCTCCTTTTGAATATTTGTTGTTTTTGTAAAGAGAATGGGGAAATTAAAAATCACCTATTCCTTCACTACTCTATGTTCAAAATCTTTGGTTCCTCTCTTGGGTCTTTTCTTCAATTAGCCCTTTGGCTTTGAGAAACTTCTTGGAGGCCAGCATTTAAAGGAAAATGAAAGATCCTATTAGAAAATGCATAGAAGATTTAGACTGAGAGAAACATTAGAACTTTCAAGGATATGTCAAAAAAAGCAAC